CATCGATCCCCATCTCTCCTTGATTCTAGCCACATCCCCGCTCAACCTCGTCGGGATCGAGGCCACCAGCATGCCCGGGCGAGCCCTGCCAGATCTTCGCCAGAGCAGAAGCTCCCTGACCAGCGCTCAGCTTCCTCTCCTCCGCCCACTGGCCGCAACTCACCTCCTCCCGTGCGCTTCTATCTCGCACAGCCAGCCGTTCCTCCCCGCCGGCGACGAGCAGCAGCACCCGAGCCCCTGTGTCATGCTCCTCCGTCCATGCGCTCGAGCTCGCCCGTCATCGCGCGCCTCCAACCTCGACCCCACCACCACGTCCTCGCCACCACGCCGGAGCAAGCCAGCATGCAGGCCCCCGTCGCGCCCTTCTCTTCCTTCCCTCTCGTTTCTCTCTCCGTCTCTCAGCTCTCTCTCCGTTCCTCCGCAGGTCCCTGCTGCTCCGTTCGGAGTTCGCCGGAACCAGTGGCTGCGCCTCGGCCTCTCCTTGTCCCCGTCATCCTCGCCGGTGTGCGCCGCCCGAGGCTCATCGGGGCACCACCACCAACGGGCGTTCCCCGCCATGGCGCCTCGGCCTCCTCTGCTTCACCTGTCGCGCCGCCATTGCCAGTCGTCGACCCCACAACCTTGAACTCCTGTGCCGAAGCACCACCTCGAGCGTCTCCTTCCTTGAGGAGGAGCTCGACCTGCTGCCGGCGACCTCGCCCTCCAACGACCTAAACAACCAGGCCGTGCCCTCCTTCCCCTCCTTCCCCGCTGCTCTCTCTCTCTCTGAAAGTCCCTGCCTCCCATCCCTGCAGGTGTGGCCGTCGACCGCCATGGCGCCGCTGCCCTCGTTGTTCACCAGGGTGGGTCCTGATCTGGATCGCTCTGCTGCTGGGTCCAAGACGCCGCCGTCCCAGGCTTCTGCAGCCGCGCCGTCATCGTCCCGGACGTCCCTGCTTCGCCATGGCCATCCCCGCGGTCTCTGCTTCCTTTTGCACCGAGCCGAGCCAGAGGACGAGCAGTTCGTTCGATCCCCGCTCCCCTGCCTCGCGTTGACCGCGCCTACAGCGCGCCAGGCCGCAGCCCAGCCGTTTTCCCCTTCCGGCCTCCCTCTTCGCCAGCTGGGCTTGGCCCATGGGTGAGCCCCAAGCGCCCTCTTGTTTTTTTCCATTGTTGGGCCAGCTAGTTACGGCCCGATGTGTTTTTTTTCGTTCTGTGAATTTATCATTTAACCTGGTCATTGCATATTTATAGGATATGCCATCATATTGAAATGCTCACAAATAAATAACCGTGCATCGGATTAAAATGTTTTATATACGTAAAATGACTAGAATTTCATCTAGTTTCATAATATGCCACTTTCATCCATGTTTGAAATGTTTAAAATGATGTTTGCTTTAATTTGCTTAAATAACATGTTAAAATGCTTTAATTCATAACTTAATAACTGTAGCTCCAAACTTAATAAACTTTATATGTAAATGGTGTAGAAAAATGCCTAGTTTAACATGGTGTACTTGATTTGCATATTTAACAACTCTAAAATATGGTTTAGGGCAGACCAGTATCAAACCTAAAATATTGCACGTGAGGTTTTTCCGGACTTGTTGCTTGTTGTTCCTGCCTCATTTAAACTTGCCTAGTTGTGTAGTTTACTTATGCTTCACCCCTTGCCATGCTAATCAACATTTAATATTGTTGGGTACATAAACGAGATCGAACTAAATAACTTGAATGTGATGTTCCGTCAATATGCAACTCGTGCATATTGAGCTCCACTTAATTTGCAGTATTGTTTGTGCACCTTGCCATGCCATGCCTCATTAAACCGGACATGCATCATGCCATGTTTATGTGGTGGTTGTTTACTATGTTGTTTGCTTCTTTCCGGGTTGCTTCTCTCGTTGGCTTCGGTTCCGTTCCGGAGTTGTGAGGATTCGTTCGACTACGTCCGTTTGTCTTCTTCATGGACTTGTTCTTCTTCCTTGCGGGATCTCATGCAAGATGACCATACCCTCGAAATCACTTCTATCTTTGCTTGCTAGTTTCTTGATCTATTGCTATGCCGCGATACCTACCACTTGCATATCACGCCTCCCATATTGCCATGTCAAGCCTCTAACCCACCCTTTCTAGCAAACCGTTGTTTGGCTATGTTACCGCTTTGCTCAGCCCCTCTTATAGCATTGTTAGTTGCAGGTGAAGATGAAGTTTGTCCATGTTTGGAACATGGATATGTTGGGATATTATTATTATATCTTATTTACTTTAATGCATCTATATACTTGGTAAAGGGTGGAAGGCTCGGTCTTATGCCTGGTGTTTTGTTCCATTCTTGCCGCCCTAGTTTCTGTCATACCGGTGTTATGTTCCTTGATTTTGCGTTCCTTACACGGATGTGTGTTATGGGGACCCCTTGACAGTTCGCTTTGAATAAAACTCCTTCAGCAAGGCCCAACCCTTATTTTACCATTTGCCTCACCACCACCTACTTTTCCCTTGGGAGTCGCGCTCCCCAGGGTCATCTTTATTTTAACCCCCCGGGTCAGTGCTTGTCTAAGTGTTGGTCCGAACCAAGTAGACTGCGGGGCCACCTCGGGGAAACTTGAGGTTTGGTTTTACTCGTAGGATGTCTCATCCGGTGTTGCCCTGAGAACAAGATATGTGCAGCTCCTATCGGGATGTCGGCGCATCGGGCGGTCTTGCTGGTCTTGTTTTACCATTGTCGAAATGTCTTGTAACCGGGATTTCGAGTCTGATCGGGTCTTCCTGGGAGAAGGAATATCCTTTGTTGACCATGAGAGCTTGTGATGGGCTAAGTTGGGACACCCCTGCAGGGTTTTGAACTTTCGAAAGCCGTGCCCGCGGTTATGGGCAGATGGGAATTTGATTAATGTCCGGTTGTAGAGAACTTGAAACTTAACTTAATTAAAATGCATCACCCGCGTGTGTAGCCGTGATGGTCTCTTTTCGGCGGAGTCCGGGAAGTGAACACGATTTTGGAGTTATGTTTGTGCGTAAGTAGTTTCAGGATCACTTCTTGTTCACTTCTAGCTTTTCGACCGTTGTGTTGCTTCTCTTCTCGTTCTTATTTGCGTATGTTAGCCATCATATATGCTTAGTGCTTGCTGCAGCTCCACCTCACTACCCTTTCCTACCCATAAACTTAAATAGTCTTGATCTCGCGGGTGTGAGATTGTTGAGGCCCCGTGGCTCACAGATACTTCCAAACAGTTGCAGGTGCCGATGATGCCAGTACAGGTGACGCAACCTAGCTCAAGTGGGAGCTCGATGAAGATCGTGTTCGTTGTGTTGTTTTCGTTTCCTGTTGATCAGTAGTGGAGCCTAGTTGGGACGATCGGGGATCTAGCAATTGGGGTTGTCTTCTTTTATTTTGATTCCGTAGCCGGACCTTGATTGTATTCTGGATGATGTATGTTTAACTTGTATTTGTGTGATGTGGCGATTGTAAGCCAACTCTTTATCCCTTTCCTATTCAATACACGGGATGTGTAAAGATTACCCCTCTTGCGACATAATGCCTACCATGCGGCTATGCCTCTAAGTTGTGCCCCAACACGTGGGAGATATAGCCGCATTGTGGGTATTACACGCGTGGCCACAACTTCATCTCCGGCGGCGGCGGCCTCCTTGGCCTGCCACCACGCCAGCTCCCCCTCCCGGCGATGCTTAAGCGCCGGGGAGAAGATACGGTCGAGGCGGCGGAAGTTTGTCCACACCCGAGTGCCGGCGCTGCGAGAACGGGGGCTGCGGTCGCGCGCCCGCTACCTCTGTCGTTCATCCACTAGCGGGCTAAGGGAGGAGCTCCCGGCCTTCGCGTCGTTGCGCCGCTTGCGGGGCGGGTCGCCGTGGCCTCCGAACCCCCATCGACCACCACGGCCGGCACTTGCCGACGCCATCTCCGGCAAGTTTCGGTAGTTAAACGCGACGCAAATCGAAGCTGTAGGCCGCGAGATTTCTCGCCGGAGGAGAGGAATCGCGGAGGCGGATGAGGGATCTGCAGGATGTGAACCCTAAATCATTCCGGATCCAGCATATATACCGGAATCGCGGGCGGTTTGTGGACCACCCATAAAAAATTTACGGGTCGAGGCCTTTTTAGTGGACCTGCTCGGACTTTTTTTAAGTTGTCCTGTAAAATGACCGAAAAAACACTTCAACAGAATTATACAGGATCTGTTAGAGATGCTCTTTCTAGTCACCGTAACTAGCCTGGTAGCGCTCAATTCAGGCGAGTCCACACTGCTCCACGTCGCGGAAGAAAAAAGAAGTAAAAAATGGTGCAGCTATACGACGTACTGCTCCCCAGTCCACACTGGTTGCTCGCTCCAGTCACTGCCAGCTAGGCCCCATGCCTTTCCCCGCGCACTGGTAGCTGCCCTCTCCTCCGCCTCCCACCGCCTAGTTCTCCTCGTCTCCATCCCCATCCCCCAAAAAGCAACACTCCACGCGACCTCACCTAGGGTTTGCTCTCCTTTCCTCCCCCGTCCTGCTCTTCCCCAATCCGCCTTCCACCCCCTCGATCTCCTCCCCCAGCCGCCGTAGACGGAGGCGGGGGCGGGGGCGAGCAGCGACGGCAAGCTCGTCCAACGCCTGCCCGCCTCGGCGAAAGTAAGTGCCCACTTTCTTCTCCCCAGTCTCAGATCTAGACGTCTGGAGCACCATTTTCTACTCGATTGCTTGGTGCTATAGCGGCGGGGGTAGGTGGCCCTTGATTGTTTGGCCCAACGAGGCATCCATGCTGCGCCGGCCGAGGGAAGACGGTTCCCGCTTCCTTGTTCTCTTTTCTTGTATGTAGTAGAGCACTAGAAGCCGAATTGATGCATAGTTATGCTTTGCTGTCCTTGCTAACAAAGTTGCGTGTGAGATAATTGATTCAATTCGAGGGAAACATGTGAAATTTAAGCTCTTGTCATTCCGCTGCTTCGATTTGTGTGCTGTTTGGATGAAGTATGTTAACCGATTGTGCTGTTGCCTTCTATGCAGAGTCTGTCACCATGTCTGACATGGAGTCCGTGGCTACCCTTATGGAGTCGACAAGCTTGAAGATAGAGCAGCTTCAGCGAGCATTTGCTGAGCTTGAGAGCCAGAGCGCTGTTACCATGAACTTTAAATGGAAGCAGCTCGAGGACCATTTCCGTGGCCTTGAGCAGTCGCTCAAGAAAAAGTTTGACGAGCTGAAAAAGCAGGAGAAGGAGTTCCAGGAGACAGTCGCAAAATCGGAGAAGATGCTGGAGCAGCAGGAGGCTGTTGTGGTGGCTAAGGAGCTGACTTCTCTGGAAAAGCTGCAAGAGAAAAGAGATGCTGCATTAGCTATGATCTTTGGCAAGTCCAAGCTGTCGCTAAACACTAATTATATCACCCCAATCAATAAGCCACAGAGTAATTATACCGTGGGTACTCTTGATGTGAAGTGGCCCAAGCATTCTCCCCAAGGAAATGCGCAGATGCAAGATGGCAATGCTGCTGTGAAGCCTCGTTCTGAACTTGCCATTCTCTGTGAGGAGATGAATGTTAAAGGGCTTCATAAGTTCATATCAGACAACAGAAAGAACTTGACGTCTATCCGTGAGGAAATCCCGAGTGCACTCAAGGGAGCATCGCAACCATATGTCCTGGTGTTGGATTCCTTGGAGGACTTCTATTCTGGAGATAATCTGGTGTTGGATGGAAAAAAGGATGGAGACCTTCTGGGTGTAAGAAGGACGTGCCTAATGTTGATGGAGTCTCTTGTACAGTTGCAAGCTGATGATATAACTGGCTTGTTGTCTGAGGGGCAAATGTTTGCAACAAATGTGAAAGATCGGGCGAAAAAGATTGCGTTTGAGTGGAAGTCCAAGTTGGACAGTCTTGACATTGATGCTAGCAATGGAAACTGCCTGGAAGCACATGCATTTCTTCAACTGCTTGCTACCTTTGGTATTTTTTCTGAATTTAATGAAGATGAACTTTGCAAACTTCTTCCTTCTGTCAGTCGACGTCGTCAAACACCTGAGCTTTGCCGACTGCTTGGGTTGTCACAGAAGATGCCAGGTCAGTGCAATGATGAACTAATCATGCATCTATCTCCAGTAAACATTGTTTATGATGATGAGTTAATGATAATATTTTGTCATGCCAGTTCAAATGCTAATTGAATGTTGTTTTCACTTGGATAAATCTTAGTTTTCCAGCTTGTGTGTAACATATTTGCTGGTCACTGAGTTCACCGAACATATGTGCAAACTCAAAAGCATAACGGTTTCTTTGTACTACCACCTCCAGAAGTTCTTTCAGATTCCCAGAATTGATAGTTCTGCTGTTACAACTTACAGCCAATGCACACCAGCTACATCTTAACCCATTAGGCCTCCTTTGGTTCATAGGATAGGATTATCGTAGGAATAGGGAACTTGTAGGAAATGAGATGACATGTCTTTCAAATCCTATGAGTAGGAATAGAGAAGAGATGTCATTTGGTTCACATCATAGGAATTTTTTCATTGAGTCTAGGCTCATGTTTATTTTCCTTTGATATGTGGAGGATAGGAACCAATCCTATGTAGGAATAGGAATCTATGTCTATAAACCAAAGGGCTCTATAGGGAAAATTCCTATAAGAATCCTATCCTATAGAATTCCTACGAAATTCCTCCAAACTGAATAGGAATAGGTATCCATTCCTACAAACCTAAGGGCTTGAATAGGAGGCCTTATCTTTTCGTTGCTTGCACTATTGCTTGTAAAGCATGTCCATTGTTGTCTAGCCAGCGGTTATGTGTTCTACTTATTCTTGAATATTTGGATCTGAAAAAAATTACTCTGTAATTTCTATTCTATTTAGTCTGATGTGTGGTTGTGGTGTATATGTTGTGTAGTA